TAATTAATGTTGCAAAAACTTCTAATAAAATTAGATTGAGTCTCTATCGACTAGGAAAACATATCTGCGAAAAATTATAAAATACATAAATTAATAATCATAATAAAAATACGTTCACACACTATATATATATATATATATATATATATATATATATATATATATATATATATATATATATATATATATATACATATATACTTATATATATGTGTGTGTATTTATATACGAGCATACACAAGACTATTCAATTGTTATATATTTAATTCGTTTCGCTGTCAGTGATTTTTAAAAAGTTAAAAATCGTCTATGCACTTTGTGATAAAAACCTTGATATACACATATGACTCTACGATACAACCCAGATAAGTCTTTTACTGTCAATAGAAAATCAGCGAGGGAATTGCGACAATATTAAAAACGGATAAAGTAAGATGATTGTTAGGTTCGTTTACATTATACTTGAACAGTGTCAGCCTGACGCCGAAGTGAATAAAAAATCTTAAAGTAATATTCCGAATAATAAAAAAAAACTACAAAGTTCGCACAAAAGTTTGATTTTTACGGAATTAAGTATATATATGCACACACACACACATATATATATATATATATGTGCAAATATTTGTGTATTTGTGACAACAGTAATAAAATATACATCGAAATTTAAGAAAAAATAGAAAATAATCAAAAGTGGTAACTAAAAAAGCAAAGGAAATACGCTTAGTTCCATATTTTTTCTGCGCCGTTCTCCAATATTTGACAGAGCAACATTGAAACAGGCTCACACTTAGGGTTCTTCTAAGAATCTTCATATCGTCAAGCAATTAGTCCTTAACAATGACATGAACTCCGTCTCAATGACGTGTTTTATTTTACCTTTACCCGTCAATAACCAGTAAAGTTTTTTTTTTTCTTACTCTCTCTGTTTGTCTTCAATTCTTTCTTCCAACTGTACACGCAAGCCTTAATAATAACGTTAGTTCGATATATTACATGCAATTCATCACTGACCCTAACGTCTTGAAAACTATCTCTCGACTTCATCCTGCCCCACTCAAAAGAAACACACACACACACACACACACAAACACGGAATGGGAAGAATTATTTCTTACCAAGGAGTTTATACTTAGCCCCTTGTGCCTCTATTGTTGGTGTGTCCAATGATATCTTTGTTGTCTGCATCAGAGGTGTGAAGGCTTTGTTTCCAAGAGATGCGGTTACGCCAAAAAGGGAAAAATAAGATCGTTAAAGAATGAAATCATTAAGTTGGTATCTAGATTTACTTCCCATAGCATTTGTAAATTAACCACAGGCTTTTTATCTTCTTCTTTTTCTCATTATTATTATTATTATTATTATTATTAACGACTACGAACATAGGATTTTGTATTTTTCTCTCTTTCATCCTTCATTGTCGATGTGATTTAACCTTTTGGCACAAGTCTAGTCTGTTCAATTTAAATCTAATTTATCATAATTTGTAGAACTCTTGAAGAATACGATAGTTTTTAAGCGATACCCTTTTCCTTTATACTATACTTATACATACATATATATATATATAATTAGCGATAAAAATACTCAAAAACACACCTTCAAAAAAGAATCAAATAACATATCTATCTATATCTTTCTATATATATATATATATATATATATATATATATATATATATATATATATATATATATATATATATATAGTCAACCAGGGTCTATTATCTTCTAATATAGACATTTAACGAGCTTCTAACAAGCTGGATAGATATAAAGAAGACATACATTGAAAGACTTGATAAGTAAATTTAAAGAGAAGAGAAGAAAAAAAAACCAAAAAAAAACAAGAAATCCGAAGGAAGGCAATTTTCTTAACGACCAAAAGAGGAAAAGGGGAAAAAAAGAAAAGAAATAAAAGTGTTTGGGGAAGGGTTATAAGCCTCTTCCAATCAGTCCGACCCGACACATCTTCCCTGACCCATACTCTCTCCTGCCACACACACTACCGGATCGAATTTCCCTTCTTGTGATTGGCTTATTAGCTTGTCCATTTTGTCATTGTGCGTCTGCTTCCGAATAGATACGCACACACACACACGCACACCGATACACATACACCGATACGCATACACAAATACATACATCTGCACACTTGTAGTTCGTGCACACACAGACACGCTTATGGACACACGCATATACAACACGCTCACGCAAGAAGGCACGAACTACGTTCGTACACGCGCACGCGCATAGAGTCTTCTTTTACTCTTTTTTCTGATTTTCACTGACGAAGAAACTGCTTCCTCGTGCCTTGCCGAAATCCTTGGAGACGCTTCTTAATCACCAAAAACAAAACAAAACAAAAAAACAAAAAAGAAAAAAGATGCACATCATTCAAAATGATAAACATAGCTAGGCAACGTATATACAGATAGATAAAAAAAAAATACAAGTAGAGAGATTTAAATGAATTATATTAACGTTCTTAAACAATGTTT